GACAGCAAATCTGCTAAATAAGTAATGACACTTGGTGACATTTAAATGTTTTTCCACAGCCAACCTACAGCTAACTGTCGGATTATATTCGTCTCTGTACTTATGTTCAAATATCTCAAAATCGGTGGGATTTAGGTATAGGGAATGCTTATACCAATGGAAAGAGAATTAACAGGTGCATCTACTGGCATTATAAAACACAGGGTGTTCTATTTAAAATAAGCGAGTTATTAAACTTTCAATTTGACACAATTGGTCCGAGTTTTTTAGACGCCCTGTGTAACATGCACCAACTTTCGAATATTCCAGATATTTGGACACGTTTTGGTATTGACCATCTAAAATTTCAGCTTCCTATCTTAAAAATTGGAGGAGATAGAACCGATTAAGTGTAGGTATGTTTTTTTCAAAAATTTTGAAAAAGTCAAAATATTTCAAAAACGATTGAGTTTAAGGATAAAGTAAGGTTATGAAACTTACCTTAAAATTCGATGTAGAATCCAAAAATTAAATAAAAAATAGTACATTCCATTTGAAATAAGCGAGTTGACGTCTACTTCCGGTAGAACCGGAAGTTCCACGGCGACGCCAATATTTTCAATCGATAGAACATTAGGAGAAATCCCCGTGCGTAAATTTTCAGAATTCCAGTACGCGTAGTTTTCCAGAAACGTCTAATTGAAGGTCTATCTGGAACACCCTGTATAGATTCTATGCAAAATAAAATTTCAATTTTAATTAAAACTAAGGAGGATATGATAGCCCGCTGTCATATAATGTCATTAGTTTGTTTCTGTCAATAATTTTGTGTTTTATGAATAATTTCGTAGATAATTTCCAATAAATCTGATAATTCATATGGAAAGTGAAAAAATTCAAAAGTTTTACTATATGGACACAATGTTTTGCTGCAATAATACCTATTAAATATTGACAAATATTTAAAGTTGAGAACATTTTCTAAAATGTCACAGGCGACTGCAGCCCCAAATAGGGGCTTTACATCAAATGAAGTTAATAATGTGTTATTTATTATAATTTATATATTTATTATAAAATATGTTCCATAATAACCTTAATCTTGTATTCTATGCGGGTTTTTTGATGTCCTGTTGCCCATTTTATGGATACTATTAACTTAGTTAAATATGTTCTCCCTACAAATTATTGAACCTTTCTTTATTTATTTTTCAGAATCCTCCTCTAGCATGAACTACATCGAGACCAAATTAGGATTTCTTGTGGATTATGAAATTGTCCCTTCACAAGAAAAGTTTGTTTAAAAAAACATCATTTGTTGTAAGTGATATCTCTCGTCTAAAACTTCATTTTATTGTGAGGTCTATTCCTATTTCCTGTAATTACTAGTCTTTATCTACACAAATACCCTTCAATTTCGGCTTGCAAACACCCACAAAACACAAATAACACTTGGAATATTTTTGTATATTTATTTTTTTTAGGTTATTAGCTGTGGTAGAAAAACCCAAAATAATTTGTTATGTGACCGATCCTGGACAAACTCCAAGGCTCGTACGCTAAGAGCTGGTACAATATATCAAAATTAAAACATAATTTCAAAGGCAGTCATATGTTAGAGCTGCAAAATTTTTAATTGCACGACCAATTTGCATCACTAAGTGGGGAATTCACTAGCATAAAGCTCTAGACGCACCTGCATCGAAATATATTTGAGCTTAGTAGCGAGTCGAGTGCTCAGACGCGATGTATCTTTTCCTCTTTGTTGTGGCTGCAGCATCTTGCCTCACGGACGCGAAGCATCTCCGTAAGTGTATTAGTTTTTTGTGTCTGAAATTATTAATCGGTCGGATGCACGGGTAATGTACTACTATTAAATTTTTAGAAAAAAATAGTGTGACGTCCATTTAATTATGCGCAGTCTAGATTAAATAAAAAAAAAGAAAAAAGACTGGTCTCAAATTGGTGGTTGACATTGCTGAAATTTAACTTTTTTTTTCTTTATTAATTGGACATTTTGCCCTGTCAAAATATAAAAAATTGTTAAAACAAAACAACCCTAGTGCCAAAGGGATGGGTTAAGGGTTGTACTCACGCTCAAAAAACAAATAATTTAAAAATACTCAAGACATTATATTTCGTACATTTTATAATTACTTACTCTAATAAGAATCCAAATTCTCAATAATTTAATACACATCTTTTAACATTTAGTAAAATTAGGTCCGCAACAAATGCACAAGGTATTCATTTTTCCAGTCACACTACTGAAAACATGGTTATTTTAAGTATGACAAAACTGGAATTTTCAAACGAAATAAAACAATACATATATTCATCAATTAATTAATTAATAAGTTTGAATCACATCTCGCTCTTCTTCATGTAAAAATAATTGCATTTGTAATAATTTGAACTTTGACATTATTATGAAAATTTAACTGAACTGTCAACATTTTGTTTGAAATAATAGTTAGATGTTTTCTTTTCAACGCATTCTTTGAAAGAATTGATAATTCTGTTTTGACAAAAAAAAACAAACTACCATATCATATAACACATCGTAGTCAGAAAAACGTAATGAAATTAAAAATTACACAATCTAATGTGGTCCTGATACGACTATATACTCGTATCTGAGTCCCCACAAAACCTAACCTTGTTATTTAAAAAGTCCAAAATTCCCCGTTTTTGTTTTAAAAAATAAAAACAAAATCATTTTCAATTTTTCGTCGACAACTTCAATATCCGAATTTTAACATTATTTCCTCCACATTAATAGTAATTATTTATCCATCTATTTTTGGAACGTATTTAGATCTCAAACTAAATACAGTATAACTGTCACAGAATTCTTGAGACGTAAAATTTAAATAAGCAAATTATTCACATGAGCAAATTTTATTTGAATTTTTAATAATAAGCTTCAGCAATAATTAAGATGAAACATGATAAAAATTTAAATGCAAAACCCCCGACACGGTTCATGTTATTTAAATATTTTGCGATTCTTTTTACATAATATGAAGAATTTTAAAATTTGCGTTCAAATGTTTCAAAATATGTAGTTACTAGTTCAAATGGATTTTAAAAAGCAAATCCATGTACTTAAATTAAACAAAAGATAGGTAGGTACGGTTGCATTTACATTTTCTTAATAAGTATTGAGCTGTTTTTCTTCAACTATGAGATATCCGGAGGAAGGACAGTAACTCTGCTGATAGAGAAAATAAGCGTGTGTACGTAGAATTTAAATTAAATTCATTGACCTGAAAAATGTTTTATTCAAATACAATATTGTCCGCGACAAGACTAATATCCGAATTGTTACTTATTAAAAGGAATGGGAGACTAACGACATATTTAAATTTCCATTTATCGCTTAAATTAATAAAATAACGTCATATTATTCATTAAAATATATTTATTCTGTTAAACGTAGCATACTTTGTTACTTTAACACTTCATTTATCAAAAACAATTAGTGATATTTTTATTTGAATACATTTTTATACAGTCTTTGGAAAATTGTACTAGGAAAAATTGTTAATTAATACAAAAATGTTCTTCCAATTCAAAATTTTAATGTTCCTGCATAGATAATACTTAATAATATTGTGTAATTATTTATTTGGAGCATTGTTTGTTACTGTTTTTATTTACACAATTGGGTGTTGGTGCCACATTGAAGAAACAATTTAAATAAATAACCTTTTGCGACAAGAATTAGCCTCGTCATTGAGAATTTTCACAATTTAAAAAATGATTTGAGCATATTTATCGCCGTTTAACATAATAATTATATGAGCTCTCTTAGTTTCCTTTTTACCGAATTACTTTCTTTTCTCACAATGTTGCTGTTATTTTCATTGAAGAATATGACTTGGAACAAGATAACCTTGTAAGATTCTTTAAAGTGAAGTTTATTTTTTTTTTAACCATACGATCTATTTGTTAATAAGAACTATTTAAACCCTTTAGAGTTTCAGGATTGTATGGATATTTTTCGAAAGTAAATGCATTTACTAAAAAGGAACTAATAACAAACAATTGATTTAAGAAAATATATTTGCGACTTATTAATACTGTTTTGTTTGCATCAATTTGGAAGTAGTGGCGTCATTGTTTATTAATGCAACATAATTATTGCATATTATTTTGAAAAAAGCCTACATCTCTATTTCACTAACCTTAAACGTTTAAATAAAAAAGCTAATCAATTTTTATTAACATGATTGCGCTTCACCTCAAGTAAGATACATTTTTTCCATGAATTTAATGAGAAAGACAAACTGTGTACGTCAGGGCGAAAAAGTTCCACTTCCTCATTAACAACGGCTCAATCACTTAGTCAGAGAGATCAATTAGTTTTTTTATTTATTATTATTATAAACACATAATTATGCAATGTCAATACAACATAATATATCATAACAATTTATACAGTCCTGAGTAGTTAACACATACATCACCAACCTGTTTTAAATTGCTTATTGGACAAATGTGAAAATTACACATCAATTTACGGTGCTTATATAATCTCGCCTAGGTCAGCTGGAAAATAATATAATCAACAACTAAATACAAATAAGTGGTATTTCATATTTTTCTTTACTCCAGACGGCTGTGGTTAACCTTACTAAGAGTTATTATTAACAACTAATGCTAAACTGGATATGCTGTGATGATATTTGTTCCATTTATATTGTCGTGTCCAAGGTAAAACATCCAAGCTGTAATTAAAGAAATGTGTAGGAAATGTTAAAATTAGTCATTAAATTTCTTTTATTGAAACGTATTTTGTACGTATCGTTGCTGTGAAACAAAATAAAAAATGGAAAAATATTATTCTGCTGAAAAAGGATTATCATAATAAATCAGTAAATCATATACGAATGTGTTGAATTTGGGAGAATATTTGTGCATATTTACGAGAAAATTTCCAAAAAAAACAAATCTTTACAAAAACAACAAAAAAGAGTAATGAAATTCAAATGAGTTATATTTGGAACTTAATTTTATTCAAAATTGTAAGACTGTATTTAATCATTATTTTATAAGAAATATAATGACCTCTAATTAAAAATCATCAGGAAATCTATTTTCCTAAGATCTTTTTTCTAATTATTATTAGACTATGCAGGATGTTTCACGGTGACGAGACATTATTCATATTTCAAAGACTACTTCGATTTTAAGTTTGAAAATTTGGGCGATGTGTTTTCGGGCATGCCTTTCTCAAATGAAATAATGACGTCCATTTAACGCTTCGGGTTATATAGGAAGTTAACGTCAAATTCGTTATTTTAAATGGAACACCCTGTATATTATTGCAATTTTGGATTCTACATCAATTTTTAGGTGAACTTTCATAAAGGTTTCCTATTCCTAATGTTAACCGTTTTTGATATATTTATTTTTTTTTAATTAAAAAAGCATTGCCTAATTCAAAAAGATGTGTATTTTACAATAATGAAATAAGAGCGATAAAATTTATTGCGGGCATAACTAAAACTCTAAGCTTCCCTGCCATAATTTCAAAATGACTTAATTTCATACAAGGTGGTAGAAATTTAATGCCGAATTTAGTCAACTTTAAATCATCTTAACTTATTTTTTAAATGGAACACCCTGTATATTTTGCGCAACCTGATGAACAATTTTGTTCTCTTTCGAATGGTATAATGGTTCCTTATACCTATCTCTTCTGATTTTTAAGGTATTTACTGTTTTTCGTGCAGTCAACGGATATTGCATAATTTCTTGAGAGGATGGCTGTGAAATTTTTAGTGGAACTTTAAAACAAGCAACTAATCCGTCACCAGTTTATTGTTGTCAATTTAACACATACAGTGAATGTTTATTTTTATATATTTTCCAAACAATGAACAAAAAATAATATAAAATAAAATGACGATGTATTTTAGAGAATAAAATTAATTGGTATTAAAATTGTCCATTTTAGAAGTTGTAAATTTGTAGCAATACTTGCAATTTTTAGGAAGTTATAGTTTCCAAGATTTAAATTTATTCATTTTTAATTTTACTTTGTAATTGTATTAATAGCCTGTTCACTTATAAATCAGTCTAAAAAAATCACCTTCACCTGATTCCACATGAATCGAAGAAAGGACAGTTAATTAAATTATAGAACCAAAAGGTGCCAAATACGCTTTAGTTGTGGAATTTGTTATACATTGCTCTAGTTTCTTGTAGCTAATAAGTTATATTTAAAGATTGTAAAAAATAAGAAAATGGAATGTGACATTACAAGTACTTCTGTTATATCAGATACCAATAACGACCTAAATTTACTAATTATAGTGCAAAGTTGAAAAAAGCCTTCACCTCATTTTTGGGTAAAATAAAGAAAGTACAGTTAATTAATAAAATCATAACCTGCAAATAAGTAGGCCTTGAACTGAAATTAATAAATCAATGAATTGTGGTTGGATTAATTAGCAATTAATTAATTTTTGGGTACATGGATTTTTAAAAAATATATTTTATTCGACACAGGTATCAGTTTACTTTTGTAGATATATATTACTTTTGTAGATATATATTTACGGTTCTACTTTTCATATTACCCATATTACAAATGCCTGTGTTTAAAGTACTTCGTTTATTACTTTAACTGTTTAAAGTATTTAATTTCTTCTTCAAAATTCTAACCGAACAATCAATCTTACCTGAGATAAATGGAAACACCATTTACTCCTTTTTGGTTTTTCGTCAAAGAACGGCAGATTATTCATTTTATTCTGCGACAAAGTGGAAAGTTGTAGAATGAAATCAAATAGAAAAGACTACTAAGTTCTGCTTCTGATTATTTTTGAAAAAAAAAACATAACTGGTTCTGTAAGAGATATACAATATGATCCAATGAAAGAAATAACATTCATTGGTCACCTAGGTCTTCAGATTTAACTCCTCTAGATTTCCTGATATGGGGATACTTAAAAATGAAGTGTACCAAAATAGACCACAAAATGTAGATCGGAAATCATAGACAAAATTCGAGAAGAGTTTACTGCTCGTCTTCCTCACTGTATTATAACAGGGTGTTCAGTTTGAAATCTATTGTAACTTGGGTTGCTAAAAATACATTTTTGTAGTGATTTTAATTTTTTTAGCGATAAAATTCTGTTACCTAAACTTATTGATACGGTTGAATAGAGAATTGCAAGACATTTCCAAAGAGCTATCGCACGATCCACATTTGTCTTTCATCATCTCACAGATGACGTCGTATGTAAAACAAAATCCCTCACAAAAATAAAAAATTACTTGTTTCAGGACTTCAAAGTCATCGGTTTACGAAATAATGAATTTATTCCTTTTATTTGCACCATACTGTATATTGTCAATGTTAAACTAGCTAGCAGGGTCACTCTCTAATAAGTACTTTTATAGGTAGAATTTATTACAACCTAAATTTGGAAAAGTCTGCCTAAATCAGTTAAAATTATAAAGATTTACGCAATATTGCCTTGAACGTCACGGTAGATATTCAACCTTAACCTCTATTCTGAAAAGAATATTTTAGCGGACTGGTTAGTTTAGGATTACATAAGCGGTCATAGTCCATAAAATTAACAATATCCATTTTACTGGTTCTGGTTCAGTTTATAAATTTAGAAAACTAGCTAGCGGATACTTTTTTCTAAACAAAATAGTCATATGTTAATCATAGGGAATGGTTTATAAACAGAATTTTTAAAATGTATTCAGATTTTAATGCATACTTACGACAATTTAAAAGTTTCAAATTTATAGTTATGTTATGACTGTGGAATGTTGTTATTTATTTATTTATTTATTTATTTAGAAATTACAATATCCAACGGGACAAAGTCCCAATTATAGGATAAGGTAAAACAGAAAACATTAACTAAATTTTAAAAGAAAAAGACAAACTAACATTAAATATAAAAATATAAATACTACATAACATAGAGCAATCAAAATATAAAATCCAGACAAAAAACTTAAGGATAAACAATAACAGACAGATAAAACAAATAAGCTAACAAACATATACAAGATAAGGATTACATTTACTAGACAAACAATTTTTTTATGTCATTCATACAATGAAAAAATATATCAAGTCGATCTTCATACTTCTGGTAATTGGAAATCATTTGATATAGGGGAGATGCTATTAGTAAGTTGGTACGAGGTGTGGGTAATTGTAAAACGGAGTGAAATCTAGTATAAAGTCTAGGAACATGATATAAAATCCTCGAGACTAACGAGTCTGCATTTAACGTGTTATTTATGATTTTAAAAAGGAATATAATTGAAAACATAATTCGCCTACGACAGAGACTATTAAAATTAAAACAAGAAAGCAATAAATCTTGAGGTGTACCACGAGGAGGATAAAATCCATAACTAATAAAATGAATAGTCTTTAAAAATCTCCGTTGTACTTTCTCTAAATGAATATTATAGATATTATAAATGGGACTCCAAACAACCGATGCATATTCAAGTTTGCAACGCACAAATGCTGCATACAATATATTTAGAACCTTTATGTTCTGAAAGTCCTTAGAATTACGCAAAATAAAGCCTAAATTCCTATAAGCAGATTTGGTTACTAAACTAATGTGGTCGTCAAACGATAATCTGGTATCGAAAGTAACACCAAGGTCAGTAAATTGCGTAACTCTATTTAAAAAAGATTCACCAATTTTATAATCAAAATCTAGATTAGTTTTGCACGACTGTAAGTCATAAATTTACATTTACTTACATTCAGAGGTAGATTATTACATGAACACCAGTTGTGTAATTTGTCAAGATTATCTTGTAATGTAGTACAGTCAGTAGATGATTTAACTTCCAAGAATAACTTCAGGTCGTCCGCATATAGTAAATAGTTGACATCGAGGCATTCAGTTAAGTCATTAATAAAAATAATAAATAACAGTGGTCCCAGAATTGACCATTGCGGAACTCCTGAAGATTGATGAAATTTACATGATTGAAAGTCTCGATACTGCACAAATTGGTACCTATTACTAAAATAGGATTTAAACAGAGTTAATAGAGCAGGAGATATACACAACATCAACCTGACTTCCTGCATCCAAAGCTTTAGCAATAAATTGGGTTTTCTCAACTAGATTTGAGGTAGTTGAACGACCACTCATAAATCCATGTTGGTACGGTGATATAGATTTTTCAATATGAAAATAAAGTCGATTGTGTAAGATAATTTCTAGAATTTTTGAAATGTTACTTATAATAGCTATGGGCCGATAATAAGTTATGTCGTTTTTAGTCCCTTTTTTATAAACGGGGCATATTCGCGACTCTTTCCATACTTGTGGATATTCTTTATACTTAATTATAGAATTAAATATGATTTTGATTTTTAAAGGTTTTGCAAAAATTGTTTTACAGTCTTTTATTAAAATTATGTAATTAAATAGTGAATATTTAAAAAATATGTACGTACTTACGTTTGTTAATTCCAAAAATTTTATATTTATAAAAAATATTGTATTCTTATTTATTTTAGTCAGCAACAAGATTTTTTGTAAAATCTGAGGATGTGGATGGGGAAAAAATTCCTGAATATTACGTAATTTTAATGAATCTGTAAATTTCTATGTATAGAAGAATTTTATTTATGACTGCTGGAAATAATAAAAAAACAAAATTCGTAAACTGAATTTGGTTATGCTTAATAATGTGTATGATTTTTAACAGGCTTTGATTCCTATTTCTAATCGTAAAAATCATTAATTTGTTTCGACTTAGTTTAAATTAACATTTTTTTTTCAGCTGCCTATATAAAACCGTGCAAGAAAGCGGATCCGAATTTTAGGCAATGTGTTATAAAAAGCGCCTCCGAAACTCTACCTCACATTATGAAAGGTAAGTTTTATATGTGTATATGTATTTGTAGAATTTTATTTTCAAAACGTTTTCAAATATTTTTAACGTTTAATGACGAGTTAATAATTTTATAAACATGTTACATTTATATTTATTCTTTATTTTGACTGACTTCTATCTGACCTTCATTAGGAATATTAATGACAATTTTTTTAAGGACACAATAACTTAGTTTACTAAGTAATACGTTGTACATAAATATGTAGATCTTCGCCCATTAATTATATAAATTAAAATTTTCATTTCACTTTTATTTTAGATTTTAATTTTAAATATACCTATATTACAACTGGTTATAACTTACAAAATTTCAAACTATTAAGACTTCTATTTCAATTTGCAGGTGACAAGGAGTTCAAGAGTCCAGTTTTGGTACCATTCAAAATATCCGAGATAACTATATCTCCCAGTGAACAACTGACCATAAAATTAAAAGATGTAACTCTTCGAGGTCTTGAAAACGCTGTAGTAGAAGATATGAAGTAAGTCATGGAAATGTTGAACTCTATAACGAAAAACTAATAAAATTAGAATGTCATAACATGTCACAAATAAAAAAAAATGGGTTGGGTCGAGGACCAAACCACTAACATTAACGCTGTTTTCAAGATTTCAAACAGACTGGAGCAGTGACTACTAAAGTCAATTGAAATCTCGAAAACCGCTCTCTGGAGGGCCAAAACACGAACGATCCGAGAATTTTGATCCTCTGATTCGGATTCAGTGAGTCACAGTACTGTAGGAAATATTGGTCTTGTCTATTTTTTAACAAATACTCTGCGTATTACATATCCTGACCAACACTGAATTATACTAACAGTATTTAGTATTTTTTTTATTAATTTAGTAAAAAATAGGTACTTAGTATATCTAAAGATCACCAAGGTACTTCTTCAATTTGTTTCATCTTTGTTCTCATGGTGAACTGATGCTACATTAAATGTTACTAACAATTATACTTACCATTAGTATGTAGTTTTAATGAATACGATTCTCAATGAAGCGTGGAAACATGTTGACAAGTAGTTGCTATATCTATTCATAACAAAGAAACAAAAGACTTGGTTATTATTACTGTGTAAAAAGTTGTAAAACGATTATAAGCAATTGTTGATTAAGTTTTATATAAATTATACACCTATTAGGCATTTCTTTACAGTAAATTAAGTAACAATCATTATTTTTTAATTCGTGACTAATTTGAATGAAATTATATAATGAATTTAAAAGCAGTCGTCAATACTATTTGATATATTATCTATCTACACATATTTTTCCACTGAGCGATGACAAAAACAAACGCAGTAACAAGCGATCATAAATATCAGTAGACGTAGCAAATTATACACGTCCATTTAAAGACACGCTCTTCAATTAAAAGTTGGTGGTTAAGTTACGGGCATAACAGTTTCGAAATTGGCTGCAAAAAAATTGTTCACCTTCAAAATGCAATTTCCTGCGATGTATATATATTAGAATTGATATAATGGTTGCTACTATGCACTCTTAATATAGACATTCAAAATGCTGCAGATGTATCCGTGAGCCGTCTAGTTAGCCTTGATGTTTTGCTGCTCATGTTCCCTCAGAATGTATCCATTATATTGACTAACTTGACCCGTGCGGATATTTTACCTGTCCTACTGCATCATTGCCTGCTACAGAAATTAAGGTGTTTATTTGACTAGCCTCTTCTAGGAGAGTTGGCATTTAGGGCAGCGAAATATCAAGGAAAATTAGTCGAATACAGCAGTAGGCCATAACATGTAACTTCTATGAAAACGACCTTGACAGTCTATACATTTTTAATAGTGTATATTGATTACATGCAACGAAGATATCAAATGAGTTATACTTGTATAATATTGTGACCAAAGCTTTGACGGCTTCATTTTCTCTGTATCTATCTATAAACCATTGGTTGTATTTCTCGAGATTTCTTTGGAAGAAGATTCACAGAAACTTTTCGCACACTCCAGTATCTCCTCAGGTACACCTAAATCTTCATTAGATTTTTGCAGTTTTCAGCAAATTGAACCACAAACAATCACAAATGAACTCAAGCATTTAGCAATATATCGACTAATGTTTGACACAGTATCCATGACTACATTGATATATCCTACTTACCTACTTTGCTTAATAAAGCAAATAATAATAATAAATAATAATCCAAATTTGGTTTGAATAATTTCAAAGCACAAATAATAACTAATTAAATTGGGGATTTCAGTTGGAGAAAAAATAGCATGTTTTATTCAGATTAAAAGTGTATTTTTCGTCTCGCAATTTTGCATCCGCTCGGCTCGCCACAAAACTAACACTTAATCCTAATATAGCAATATACAATTATGATTCCAGTTTCGATTTGGAGAAGAAACACGTCTCTGCAAAGCTCTCGTTCAAATGGATTTCTATTGAGGGAGAATATGAGATTGATGGCAGAATATTAGTTCTGCCTATAAAAGGACATGGACCAGCAAACATTTCAAGCGGTAAGGATACAGTCCTTAACTTTTAAATATAAAAATTTGTCACATGTGGTAATGTTAGAAAAATTTTGTGATTGTCATTAGCGTCTGAACATTGGGCATATTTTTTTCCAATTATTGTTATTACGATGGTGGCTAGAATGAAATTGAACATGAATATAAATACAGCGTTATAAAGACACAAAAATGAAGTACTTAAATGAAACAATTAACAAAAGTTTCAATAAAAATAAACTACACATGAGTCAGGTTTAATTAATGATCAATCTAGATTGATTTGAAGGAGTTATGATGCTGACTACTCATTCTTTGGTAGTGAGTTCCACTGTAGATAAGAAATATGTTTTGTAAGAGAGTGAAAATATTCCTTCTTTAACTTTAATTTAAGATTCCATAGTCCTATATGTTTTTTTACCGACGATTTTACCTGGACAGTAGATTTTACTAGGAGAATCCTAACTAAAAATAAAATAGGACGTGCTATGGAACCCTGGGGCATTCCGTTTTTCTAACCATCTAATCTTATTTCTTCACCAACCCACATTGTTAATTGTCAGTTACTAAGGAAGGATTCAATCTAAAATAAAAGTTTTCCATGCACGGCAATATACTTCAGCTTACACAACAGTGTACTTATAATAAATTATAAAATATATGTTTTCAGATAACTTGGTTGTTGACTTCTCGTTCGATTACAAACTTGTTACAAAACAAGATGGAAAGGAATATTTCAACACTGACATTAATCCAATCGTCAGTTATACTATAACAGACAACCACTTTTATTTCGGAAATTTATTCAATGGAGACAAAACATTAGGTGAGTTTTATGGAATTATAAAGGATTTATCATAGAATATGGTAAGAACATGTACAGATTGCTTGATTTTAAAATTCTACATTTTTCAAAGTCATTAGCCAGTTTGGGAAACCTTGACTTCTCAAAACCTTTTCAGTTTCTAAAGCTTAACTATTTTCGCTGTCAATATTTTAATTAACCATCAAAACTATATTTAATTTTGTGACTAAACCATTTCATTTAAGCATTGTGTTAACATTGGAAACACTAAGTTTTCTATTTTCTCCTTTGGCATGTTGATTTCTTTCCTATTTTTTTCTTATTTCCATTTCACTAACAAAAAGAGTTAAATTAGTAGAAATTACGATAAGGTAGGCTCAAAGGAGGGTATGAAAATGATATAGAATTACAACCGAGTCTTTTGTTTTATACAGAGGACAGAACCAACCAGTTTTTGAACCAGAATTGGATGGACGTGGACAAAGATTTGCAAGGGACGATATCAGATACTATTAAGACTGTTACTACGCAAATTATTAAAACATTTATCAGTACCGTTCCGTACAATGAAGTATTTCCTTGACATTTTTAGTTTTTAGAATTAGTTAATTGAACTTTGCATTTGATTGTTGATATGCAAATTTACCTGCAAAGCCGACTGTCTTGGTTACGTAACTTATTTGTTAAATAAATTCTATTATTATCTACCTATAACATGTTTCATATTCTGCTAAACTAATTCATTTCATATATTGGTTTAACTACTGCAAAAATGGTAAGTCTATATCTATCTATCTTTTCTGCTTTATGTACAAACAGTAACAGCTTTATATCTCTTAGTCTAAAAACGTGAAATAGTTACAAAGACAGTGACTGTTGACTTGTCAATAATAACTGGAATAGTTAACCCGCTTGTTTTCTTTTCCTTCTACTTCAGATGCTTAAACATTTCATTTACATACTTCACACAACTTACTAGAGGGTTAAACTAGTAAGAAAGTCACCCCTATAGGGTACTCTTCATTAAAATGCTTTAATAATTATGAAAACTGGCAGACCCACATCCTAATATGACGGAATATGAAAGTAAAATTAAAACTAAAATTAATACCATTGTTTTATTGTACAGAGGAAGGAACCAACAAGTTTCTCAATGAGCATTGGATGGAGGTTTACAAAGATTTCCAAGGAGCAATATCAGAAACTATTAAGTCTGTCAGTGCTGATATTATTAAAACATTTATCAGCACAGTACCCTACGATGAAGTGTTTCCTTGATTTTTGAGCAGCTTTCAAATTGTTTGTTCTTGTTGTTATTGTAATAAAACTCGCTCGAAAATGTTATTCGCAGTTCACTGCCTTTTTGGTTAAAAATTTTGTTTTGAAATAAATGTTGACCTAACACTTTTTTTTATTTATGAATGAAATAATCGGTATCTATGTCTGCTTCTATATGTATCTATAATGTATCTCTGTTTAATTCTCCACAAATGGTAAGTCTACATCTGCCTGTCTATTTTATCAATAACTATGTTTTTAACTGCACGCTTTTTCCCCTTTATATGCATATTCAGTAAAAAAATGAAATATATTTATTAATTATATAACATAACATTTTTTATAGCCTTTCCAGATTACTAATAACTCATTTGCATGTAAATTTCGATTTACAAATTGAAGTATTTATAAGAACGTTTCAATTTCTCTGTTTAGGTGACAGAACCAATGAGTTTTTGAATGAACATGGGAAGGAACTTCATGAAGACGTATCATCGTCAATATCGCAAACTATTGGAATTGTGGCAAAGAGTGTTCTGGTAAAAATTCTACCTCAAGTTCCTTATGACGAGATTTTCTTATAGGATTTATGAAATGCATATTTTAAGTAAATAAATGACTTTTCCATACTATATCAGTTTAACTTATTTCAATGCACATAGTAAATAGTAACAAACATTAATGAAAAAATACGAAATAGATATTAGGTAATATTATTAAGTTGAGTGTTGTGAACTCTATTCTAAGTTAACCAGAAAATGCTGAATGAATAATAAAATGGTAAAAATAGTTATCTATGATGACATGGACATCTATTGTAGTATAACAACCCCAGGTTCGATTGAAAAAATATATAAACGTAGTTGTGGCCAAAAATATGTGATCGTCATAAGGAATCCCTACGTTGTATACATCTACTTTTTATTGACCGGAAGGCGCTGGCTACTAACTTTAAAGAGGGGAAGTATGGTTTAATTTTATAAAACAAAGACAGAGTACCTAAATACACCTAACTTTATTATTTATGTACAACCATCTTCAAATTAAACATGTGACAAATAGAAAGAACAACAAAAACATTAACAACGATTTAACATAAAATGAGAGTGCCAGGCTCGCCTAGAGCTCCTGTGGGGAAAGAGCATGGCAGAGAAACCCACGATCGTTGTTCTAACTACCCAAATATAAATACAAAACAACCTCTAACCAAAGGCATAAATTAAGATCCTTTGCTAATGATAAATAAGACCTGTCTCATTTAATGTGTCACTAAATGTCATCCGTTACCTCATATTAGTCATACACACTTCCAAGTAAAACTGAAGAGGTTTGGTGTTAGTTAGCCGGCAGAGCCGGGAGGTACTGGAGTCCCATAATACGGGAGGCAATCCAGCTATAGTTGAGATTTCGGAAGATCCTTCTTAAGACTGGAGTCCCATACGGGAGCAATCCAGCTTAATCCAGATTCGTTCCGCACGGGCGAAAATGATAGTAAATTCAACAAGGCTCGTATAGACGTATGACATAAAGTGAGCACAAGAAATCAAAGAACAACGTAATCATGATAAAATTAAATGTGAAACAAAGAAGTCGTTATTGCAATATCTTGGCAGTCACGACAATATACATATTTTAACATGTAATAAATAATGAGCAATCTTTAATAATAATTGTAACAATTTTATCTTATAGAAATATATGCCCTTGAGCATAAAGCAATGGAAGCTAAACATACAAAGAATTATTATCATGAATCATCTATAACCAACATAATCATAAGATTACATAGAACAATTAACAACAAAGTACTTAAAGAATATTACCTGCTAACTAATACCGGTTAAACACTTTTATTTTACATTATTTTTCTTCTTACTACCCATCTCCACATTGTTCTCACTTCAACTATCTATCTTCGACTAACTAGGCTTCCTTCCAGAATTGCCCCACCTAGGCGTTTGTTTTTTTTGCGCTTCCTTCTACCGACCGTTAATATTACTTTTTCATTATTATACAACACTCATGTAACAGCTGACGTCGAAGTTGATAAGATAAGTACGGTTTTGCACACTATACTAGGCATAGTAAAAATTTGCGATTNGGCGTTCGTTTTTTTTGCGCTTCCTTCTACCGACCGTTAATATTACTTTTTCATTATTATACAACACTCATGTAACAGCTGACGTCGAAGTTGATAAGATAAGTACGGTTTTGCACACTATACTAGGCATAGTAAAAATTTGCGATTTAAACTGCTTGTACTTTTGTAAAACAGAATTTCACTAGCTTGTTTTTTTTTTAACCCCTATATGATTTACGCTGGAAACTTATTTCTGTGCACAGCTGTACCGGTATATAAACATAACCACTTTTACCTTTTTTGCTTTTCTATCTAGGAAAAAATTGTAGATCGAGAATATCTTATTATAAAATGTGTTTTATCATACCATCATCCTGTTCTAGACAAAAGGCCAACACAAGACAAGTTTTATACAGGGTGTATCTAAATAACACCGAAAAAATTCAAGGGGCGATTCTCCGATGAAAATTAATAGGGGTCTTTGGTATAAAATTTTTTGAAAAAACCCTCCCCTGAAAAGTTACGCCCCTCCTAAAATTACAAAAAAAAATTGTTTTTCTTTTTTATCTTCCACGTACATCAAGCTAAAGAAACCAAACTTGGTGAACATTATCTGTCAATAAAACTACACTTTTTGAATTTTTTTCAACCCTGAACTATTTTTGTAAGGGGTTGAAATAATCAACCCCTATGACATTTTTTCTTATAATTTTTTTTTCGATAAAATTTTTTCCTTTTAAAAAATATGTCTAAAAAACCCCATTCATTTACTAACTTTTTGATCTCTTCAAGTTTCTTCGAAAAGTTAAGGATTTATGACAAAAAAAAATAAATGTATTGTAATGTATTTTTAAAAAGATGAGCTGTTTAACGCGAGTGTATTTTGCCGAAAGATCTAGTGGCCTGTTCTTTACAATGGAATCCGTAGAAACAAATGTCAATGTCATTTATTGTCATATTAAATAACATTTTATTAAAAAACACTCAACCAAATAGTTGACCTATGATTCTACTAGGCTAAGAAGTTTGGAACTTAGACTAAAAGTGAACAAATGATGAATAATGTTATAACAGTAACAAAAAATAAAAATCTGTCGGATATTGACAATACAATCTACAAAAAATGTTGAAAATGATTGCCTTCAGCTTCAATACAAGCATCTACTCTTGTTCTCATAGAATTGCGTATGCGTTCAAATATTCCTGGTGAATTTTTTATCGTTTCACACCCTGCTACAATGCGGTTTCGCAAATCATTGATATCTTCAACTGGCCTTGAGTAGATCAAAGATTTCAGATATCCCCATATGCAAAAATCCAAAGGATTAAGGTCAGGGGAGCGGGCTGGCCAATTTACATATCCTCCTCGACCTATCCATCGATTGGCATACACCTCATCCAAGTGACGTCTTGCACGTATACTAAAGTGGGCTGGTGCACCGTCGTGCATAAACCATAAACGTTGCCTAATTTGAATGGGAACTTCTTCAAGAATAATAGGTAATTCTTCGAGAAGATGACAATATGAGTCACCATCTAATCGTCGTGGAAGAAAATAGGGACCAATTAAATGATCGTCGATAATTCCGAGCCACACATTTAATGAAAATTGATACTGATGATTTCCTTCAAAAAAGTCATGAGGATTTTCCTCAGCCCAAATATGATTGTTACGAAAATTTCTAATACAGTCTCTTGAGAAATTCGCCTCGTCAGTAAATAAAATATTTCTTAAGAACTGCGGCGCTTGGCCGATCATATTAATAAGCCATTGACAAAAAACCACACGTGGTAAAAAATCTCGAATCAGTAACGACTGCACCCGTTGGAGATGATAGGGATATAACTGTTGTTCTTTTAAAATTCTAAAAACTACCGAATGGCTTACATTTAGGACACGAGCTATTTTCCTGGTACTAGTTTCTGGGGATTCCTCAATTAAATTAAGTACGGCTTCATCGACAGCTTCAGTTCTAACTTCTCGGCTACGGCCACAGTCATGACTTCTCTTTTCAAATTTTCCAAGTTCCCGCAAGCGTTGGTGAATATTTGTGAACGTAGTATGGTGGGGTAATCTACGCTCTGGGTACTGTTCAGCATAAAGTCTTTGCGCTTCCAATGCATTACCGTTAGCATACCCATATGTAAAATGCATATCTGCCATTTCTAAATTCGAATAGTTAACCATATTTTCGGTTTATTAACTAATATTTTCTACACAAAATCATGAAACTTGTGAAATAGTAAGAAACAGTAACAATAAATGACATTGACATTTGTTTCTACGGATTCCATTGTAAAGAACAGGCCACTAGATCTTTCGGCAAAATACACTCGCGTTAAACAGCTCATCTTTTTAAAAATACATTACAATACATTTATTTTTTTTGTCATAAATCCTTAACTTTTCGAAGAAACTTGAAGAGATCAAAAAGTTAGTAAATGAATGGGGTTTTTTAGACATATTTTTTAAAAGGAAAAAATTGTATCGAAAAAAAATTATAAGAAAAAATGTCATAGGGGTTGATTATTTCAACCCCTTGCAAAAATAGTTCAGGGTTGAAAAAAACTTCAAAAAGTGTAGTTTTGTTGACAGATAATTTTCACCAAGTTTGGTTTCTTTAGCTTGATGTACGTGGAAGATAAAAAAGAAAAACAATTTTTTTTTGTAATTTTAGGAGGGGCGTAACTTTTCAGGTTAGGGTTTTTTCAAAAAATTGTATACCAAAGACCCCTATTAATTTTCATCGGAGAATCGCCCCTTGAATGTTTTCGGTGTTATTTAGATACAACCTGTATAGTAATATGGAACTAATTTCGTTAGCTTCGTTTTTCCCTTAGGTCATGTGAACTATTAAATCGTTTTTTACTTTATCCTTTAGAATCCCACATAAAAAGAACTACGTGAAAGTTAAATAAGGATTTCTTACTGATCATAAAATTATTCCAATCAGAATAAACCTTTTTTTTTAAAAAATATCCTTTGTCTAGAACACAGTTATGAAACACGAATTTTTTTCAATAAAATATTTAGATTTAAGTAAATTTAATATTGAAAAAATAAATATGCATTGGGTCCATAGCAATCTTGACTTTATTAATTGTATTCACGTACGATATAAAGGGTATCAAAGAAATTTGTAGTAATTATATTCATTACAGTATTTTTTACAGTTACTTTTGTTTAATTTAATGTTTTATTTTTGAAAATCTCTTAATTTTTACAACAAAATTAAAGTTCTTACCAGTCACTGGAACAAGAGTTAAAATATTTAGTTATATTTAGTTTATATTCGCCAATTGTGACTAAATTTCTATTGTTTATTTGAATAGGCCAAGGATGGGTCAAGTTATAATCTGAATATCAGTCATACCCCGCATTCTCTAATAATATAAACGCAAAACTGATGTTTTGGTTAATCCAGAAATAATTTTGGTAGGAGTAAAAGGAGTACGCACAATGACCGTATATCTTAAGGATATATCATTTCATATATACCGGATATTTTATTTTGCAACATAAGGAGGATATCCCATTTTTAGTTTTCTAGCGCACATACTTTTTGTGATATTTTAAGAATATAGTATCCGAATATTCTCGGATTGGTACCTACAATTACTTTATTTCATTTATATATATATATATTATATATATTAATGCATTTATTACCTCGGTTATATAATAAATTGAAATGGGATTCTCTTAATTAAACTGTTACTAAATATTCTTACACTGACTCTGCTCCACCCTACGGAATTCACTTTACATCAATTTAAGCCTAAATATCACAGTCCAGCAATAATTTTGGCCACTATAGTAGTACCATTTATTACAATGCCACAACAAAGGCGATTATTAGGAAGAAGTGCAATAGTAACTGGATCTACCACTGGTATAGGTTTCGCAATAGCCAAAAGGCTGGCAGAGGAAGGCGCCAAGGTAATCATCAGCAGCAGGGAAAAAGAAAACGTAAAAAAAGCCACCAAGGAATTGCGTGATCAAGGACTTGACGTTAAAGGTGTTGTTTGCCATGTCAGCAATCCCGACCATAGGAAGAGACTATTGCAAGAAGCAGAAGAAAACAACGGACTGGACATTTTGGTGTGTTGTGCGGGTGTTAACCCAGCAGTCGGTCCACTATTTGACTGTCCAGATTCAGCTTGGGAGAAAATATTCGACGTGAACCTTAAGGCACCGTATCTTCTGACCAAAGAAGCACTGTATCTTCTGAAACAAAGCAAGACGGGTAGAGTTATTTATATTTCATCCGCTTGTGTTTTCCGTGTACACCATAGTCTGGGTGTGTATGCACTGAGTAAGACGGCACTGTGTGCTCTTACAAAAAATGCTGCGCCTTTTCTGGCTGCAGACCATATCACCGTAAACTGTGTGGCACCAGGTGTAATTAATACCAAGTTCTCAGAGGTCTTAACACCTAATGAAAAAGAAACGGCGCACCTGTTATCGAATATTTTTTTAAATAGGTAAGTTCATGTGGAAAAACTGAAATTCCGTACAAGAATGCAATTGATCAGTTTCCTGCAAAAATTAGTTACAACCAGATTCTGAAAGTGATGAGAATATCGAAGAAAACATTTAATATGTACCTATGTCAATTAAAATACTGGTTTGACTTAATTTTATCATGTTTAAATGTTGTTTAAGTGAATACGAAGTAGTAGAGGTACTTCACCTTTAAAACAAAATATTTTCGTAAATTTGGACTTATCTGGTACTTGTGCCAAATTTTGCTACTTACTCTAAGCAAGATTTACTTAGTACATGAAATACATGCACATAATTTTGTATGTACTGACTTAATATATTTTTAGATTTGGGGAACCTGAAGATGTTAGTGGTATCGTCGCGTTCCTGGCTTCAGACGATGCGGCTTACATAACAGGAGAAAATATAATAGCAGCTGGAGGTATTCACTCACGATTGTAAAATTTCCATATAATTGGGGGCACGAATTTATTTTGGTGTAACACGATATTTCTTTACTCTGTACTTTTGTCCTGTAAAAGTTAAGAAATAATACTTATTTCTTCTTATCTTCAGTATTATTTTTACTGGCAGCGAGATTTTTTACTATTTTTGAGATATATTTTGAAACAAATACTTTTTTAATTCGTTGACTAATAAAATTTTTATATACAGGGTGTCATCTAGCGAATGTTACGTACTTCAATGGTATAATTTAGAATCCAAATGGTGTGGATGTGACCAAACTTGCTTGAACGAAAAATGTGGCAAAAAAAGTTACAGGGTGTTAAAGTTTCCTTTTTTATTTCTTGTTTTCTCCTTAACTCAGAATCCTGTTGACCGATTTGAGCAAAATTTGCGGTTGCTTAGTTTCTCTTCGTGAAGTATGCAGTGATTATGTTCTTATTAGGTAAAATCATACAAGGCGTTAATTTTACTACAACCCTTTGTAAATATTCTTCTATAACTTTTTATTATTATTTTATTCTACACAAAAGTGGAAATTATGCTCGGTTATTAAGAAATTACAGAAAATTTGTATTAACACATTTTTTAGAAATAACTAATAAATCGACACCATTTGGGTTCTAGATTATACCTTTGAAGTATGTAACATTCATTAGGTGACACCCTGTATCATCTGTAATTATTTATTTGTAACATTTACTGAATTTGACGTTTCTGCCAATTGAAGGTGTTGTTTATTTAAAATTTCTTTTCCTTTCCAGTGTGGCAGAAATATTCAGTTAACTAAAAATTAAAAAAGGTAGCTAATGAAATTACTATTTACATATATTGAATATAGGCAACCAACGTTACTCTTCTAAATTGACTATGAAGTAAAACTCGTTAGGTAAGTTCAGAGCCTTCATAAATAATTATACATAAGCCACGTGACCAGTAATTTTATTTTCTTCACGTTGGCAATTAAATTTCGGTAAAATTAAAAAAAATTAAAACAATATCAATATTACATTGAAACAAAACATTCTGTTTCACCGGCTGCTTATTGTGCGTAATTTTTCAGGATATTCATCCAATCAGCGCCCGTATTATCTCAAGCGTTAGTCGTTGTTTATTGTAAACGAATCATTAATATTGGCAACGAAATGATTTATGTGATTTTTAGTTGACAGTATCTGCCATGGTTGGTTGCCTAAGCTCAATAGTCATGTGGTTTATAATCATTTATGAATCTAAATAAAAATTAAATGTAAAATTTGCGTGTTTACTTTAATATTCGTTTGAAAGATCTGATTAGTATAGACATTCAAGAAATACCACAGCACGCCATTCAAAATTCCTTAAGAGCCTTCGTTGATCCATTAGGATATTGTCAGACTGCCGAATGTCACCAGGTTGAACATTTATTATGATTTTTTTTTTAATATTCAAGTGCTCCATACTTCGTCATAACAAAATTTCATTTTCATTAAATAAAATTCTTACTGCTTATTTTATTGTTTTATTCAACATTTAATAAAAAAATCGCAGATACATCAATATATCATTGTAATCGGTGAAAATCTGTCTTTCTAAAAATGTGAAAATAAATAGGACGGTCCCTTGTAAAAAACTGCCGACAACGCCCTATCTCTAAAAATAAAGTAGATGTTTGAAATTAATGTACCTCACTGAAAAGAATAAAAATACAACAAAAACTTCTTTTAAAGGTGTTCCGACACGTTTGCCCATCCCTGTACGGCACCAATTCTTATTGTAGTCTTCAATTACTTTATAGTAAGTAGTAGCTTAATCAATATATTCTATTTTATATTGACCTTAGTACCCAATATTATTCTATCAGTTCTATTATTATAGCTCCAGTGTCTGTATACAAACATCCGAGGAGCTATATTTGATAATTTAAACTAAATAATTTATTTATATTTGCTATTTGCTACTCTAATAACACTATAATTAATTATAGACATAAATATATAAAAAAAATTCTCATCTCATTAATGAAGGTTTTAATTGGTATCCACATTTCTAAATATGTTTGTGAGGGGAGATACGTGCAATAATTTACTATGCCCACGAACAGATTGTTATACCACGTATAAAGTGTAACATAACTAATCAAATACGTCAGTAGAAAACATATTTTGCATTCTCGAAATATGTACTTTAAATCTTAATATTGATTATATCATACTCTTCTTGCATCTATCTACTGATCATTTTCAATATACTTTTCATCAAAATTCTTTGGGCACTACTCATCCCCATCAATTTTATATAAACTGTACTAATTATGGTCATGCCCATCAATTTTACATAAACTGTATTAATTATAGGGGATATTTAATGGAAAGCATAAGTATATTGGAGTTGTGTAGAATATTTCGATTGAATCTAAATTCCCATAATGTCGCAACAAACTTTGCAACGTTTATCAGGAAGAAGCGCAATAGTAACTGGATCTACCTCTGGTATAGGTTTCGCAATAGCCAAAAGGCTAGCAGAGGAAGGAGCCAAGGTAATCATCAGCAGCAGACAAAAAGAAAACGTAGAAAAAGCTACCAAGGAACTTCGTGATCAAGGACTTGACGTCAAAGGTGTTGTTTGCCATGTCAGCGATCCTGGCCATAGGAAGAGACTATTGCAAGAAGCAGAAGAATACAACGGACTGGACATTTTGGTATGTTGTGCGGGTGTTAACCCAGCAGTCGGACCACTTTTTGACTGTCCAGATTCAGCATGGCAGAAAATATTCGACGTGAACCTTAAGGCGCCGTATCTTTTGACCAAAGAAGCACTGTATCTTCTGAAACAAAGCAAGACGGGTAGAGTTATTTATATCTCATCCGGTTCTGCTTTCTATGTACACCATAGTCTGGGTGTGTATGCACTAAGTAAGACGGCACTATGCGCTCTTACAAAACATGCTGCGTTTCTTCTAGCTGCAGACAATATTACTGTAAACTGTGTAGCACCAGGTGTAATTAATACCGAGTTCTCAGAGGCCTTAAGACCTAATGAAAAAGAAACGGAGCACCTGTTATCGATTATTTTTTTAAAAAGGTAAGTTTATGGGGAAAAACTGAAGTTCCGTACAAGAATGCAATTAATTGATCAGTTTCGTGCAAGAACTAGTTACAACCATATTCTGGAAGTTATGAGAATATCGAAGAAAACATTTAATATGTACCTAAGTCAATTAAAATATTGGCTTGACTTAATTTTATTATATTTAAATATTGTTTAAGTGAATACAAAGTAGTAGAGATACTTCACCTTTAAAACAAAATATTTTCGAAAATTTGGACTTATCTGGTACTTGTGCCAAATTTTGCTACTTACTCTAAGCAAGATTTACTTAGTACTTGAAATACATGCACATAATTTTGTATGCACTGACTTAAAATATTTTTAGATTTGGGGAGCCTGAAGATGTTAGTGGTGTCGTCGCGTTCCTGGCTTCAGATGATGCGGCTTACATAACAGGAGAAAATATAATAGCAGCTGGAGGTATTCACTCACGATTGTAAAATTTCCATATAATTGGGGGCACGAATTTATTTTGGTGTAACACAATATTTCTTTACTCTGTACTTCTGTCCTATAAAAGTTAGAAAATAATACTGTCTATTTCTTCTTATCTTCAGTATTATTTTTACTGGCAGCGAGATTTTTTACTATTTTTGAGATATATTTTGAAGAAAATACTTTATTAATTCGTTGACAAATAAAATTTTTATATACAGGGTGTCACCTAACGAATGTCACATGCTTCAAGGGTATAACCTAGAATCCAAATGGTGTCGATGTGACCAAACTTGCTTGAACGATAAATGTGACAAAAAAAGTTACAGGGTGTTAAAGTTTCCTTTTCCCTGAAGAGCTACCGATAACTCTACGAATGAATACGATTGTCATGTATGATGGGGCCCTCCCCATTTTGCCTTATCGGGAAGACAATATTTAGATGAGCACTGTCCTAACAGGTTGATAGATAGAGAAAATAATGCCCCTTTGAAATGGCCACCTCGATCCCCGGACCTGAACCCATGTAATTATTTCCTTTGGGGAACGTTGAGGACCGCAGTTTATAGGTTTTCAGTAAATACAGAAAACGATTTCTTGGAAGCAATAAAAAATGAAATTAATGTTATGAGAGATAATGCACAATTATTGGATAAAATTCATTTTAATTTAATACCTGCGTTCAAGAACGAGGAAGTCACTTTGAGGATTTACTGTAATATTATTTTAATGTGATTACAAATATCAATTTAGGTTTATTTGTAATGTTAATATATTAGCCGCCTTAAAAAGAGCACAGTTTTGCTTGAAAGAGGATTTCACTTATATGCTTCAAATTAATAATGTAAAAGAAGTCAAAAGTCTAAGTAAGTAAAAATAAAACGTAAAATTACGTTTTGACTTTAATATTGTTTATATTATTAGAGGCAGTTTGTTGACAACTTTGCAAGATATATAACAAATTTTAAATATGGTATACCGCAAGCAACTGGGGGGGTCCGGAAAAACAAAAAAATATTGAAAGGAGATCCGTGGTAAACAAATGGTTGCCGCTTACCAAAATAAATTTAGTAGCTATACAGGGTGGTCCCGAGATAATGGGCCAAAATTCATGGGTAGATTCCCGAAGCAAAAATATTGCGATTTAGCCGAACTTACCTAAGTCCAAAAGTTGATAGTTAAAGAGATACAGGGTGTTAAATGTAAAATGTTATTTTAGTTTATTTCCATTTATTTCTTAATAAATGCAAATATCTACACAAAATTTTGGGGTTTGGGGTTCTTTGGATAGAGGAATTGAAATTTGTTCACATTTTGGTTATAATTCATAGAGGGCGCCAGCTGCCGTAGATTGAATGTGTTGGAAACGACATAACTTTTTTGTACTTTAAGGTATCTCATCTTTGGTATCAAATTCTTATTTTCCA